GGTTGAATATACGTTTTGGGTACTATTTCAGTGGAATATCTTTCGATATTTCACTTTTTATTGACAGGAAATCTGTCTAAGCATTTGTCAAGCGTATTTTCTGTGACCCCTTAGAAGGCTGCATTATATATACAGTGGTAGTTTGCTCACCTTAAATTGTCACTGCATTACGTTATAAAGCACGGTAAAGCGAGCTATACAGTCCGTTCTACTATTTTACTTTTAAACGAAAGGTCGATAGTAAAATACCGTTTTTGTAAGGCTTTTGCAAACTAGCTCCGTAAACCGGTTTTCAGTATTTACTGACGCACTTTTCACGTTTTGGTGTTATACAGTAAAGTTGGTGTCCTATATTTATCAGTTTCACCTGCATTGCGCCTTTTTTGTACAAAATATGCCACGTGTCAACTTCCCGTGTCTGAATGAAGTGTGCGGGAAAAAGGGGGTAAGTGGCATAATGTGCGACGCATGTGAAAAATGGGCTCACCAAAAGTGTACAGGGGTCTCTACGGAGATCTACGCTTTGTACAGTAAACACAATGGACTTGAATGGGTGTGTAACGGTTACAAAAACGATCGCTCGCCAACATATAGCCCAAAGTGCTGTCCCCGGAAAGTCACCAAGACTGACGGAGACAAAACGAGTGGAAAGTACGGAAGAAACGACTGCAGAGGTGGCAGCCAAAACTTATGCCGAGGCAAACCTGCTCCAGGAGCACGCAAATTGCAGCCAAATGCTAAGACTGTCAAATCTAAGCCAAAGACAATAAATCTGCGCATCGCCAAGGGAGCTCAGGGTGTTCTGGGTAACATCCCGCACCACATCGAGAGTGAACTGCACAAGTTGTGTGCTGAAGTAGCCTCGATCAAGGCTGTTAGGGTAAATAGAACGTCTCGGCGCAACACGCTACTGGTCCTCAATAAAGAGGAACCAATGATCTGGGAGTCTAAAACTTGCCGCGAACTGGACCGCCGCCGAGTGACCAATATTCTTAGACTGGTGGGCTTATACCCAAAATGTCACATAAAAAGAATACATAGAGTCGGGGTTTGGAAGCAGCCAAACTCCAACGTAGGGTCCGCGGCCCAACCGATACTAGTGGAGTTCCGAGAGACGGGGCAAAGGGACATGCTCTTGGCAAAAACAGCCCTTGTAAGTCAGCCCACAAAAGGGCCCTACGAAATAGCTCCGGACATCCCAAAGCCATATAGGAAAGCAGAGTTTAAGGGGACCAAGGGCAGGGTTAGTAACCATAGAACGCAGCCATCGACAAGCACCCACTGCAGAAACGGGGTGGTGATCATAGAAGATATAATGGAAGAGGAAGAATCAAAGACCTGATTGCCAAGCAGGTCAGTAATTGTAGATGAAGAGAAAATTAATCAAACATTCACTCCATTGCGACAGGCGACCATGGTAGAGCAAACGGACTCCGAGCTTAGACGTCGCAAGACAATGACCAACACTGACCAATCAAAAAACGGGGTCACAGCTCGGGTGCTGCGCCCGAGACAAAAGCAAGAGTAGGGGCTTAGAATGCCCAATTCCGGAAATGTTAGCTAGGCTATGCGCTAATACGTGCAGCGTCCGGAATAAGTGGGCAGAGCTAGGAATAACATCTGAGGAAATCAAAGCTTCAGTGGTTGTTGTCTCTGAAACGTGGTTATGTGAAAGCGACCACATACCACAGACCATTGCAATCAGCTTTGAATTTCACAGACAGAATTGGGGGGGGGACAAGTTCAAGGCGAAGGAGTAGCGCTTCTCATTCGCAAAGAAACTCCTCACAGGAGATTGGACACAGAAGTCTGCATTCTCAATATACAAATGGGTGCCATCTCACTCCTTTCTAGGACCAACAGCGCCACCATTGCCGGTGTGTACAGAAGTCCGGGAGCCAACATAGAAGAAGATGAACAACTAATCAGGGCTCTGGATGTACTAGCACAGTCCCAACAGAAACTGGTCATTGCTGGGGACTTCAACCTTCCCGGCCTCCAGTGGACAACAGAGACCTGCTCGGAGAGTGCACCAGAGGAAATGTTCCTGGAATGGATACACTCCAGAGCCATCCTGTAACACGTGAGGGAAAACACCAGATTCAGGACTGGGCAGAATCCATCTCTCCTAGACTTAATAATAATAATGACATTTATAATAATGTATATTTCAC